TGGCCTTATAAAAGAGGCCCTGGAGAGCTCTCTCTCCCCTTCCATTAGGTGAGGACACAGCAAAAGATGGATGTCTGTGAACTAGGAAGCAGGGCCCTCACTAGCCACTGAATCTGTCAGTGCTTTGATCTTAGACTTCCCAGCCCCCAGAACTGTGAGAAATACATTTCTGTTGTTAATAAGGCACTGAATCTGTGGTATTTTGTTATAACAGCCTGAGCAGACTTAGCCGAGTTCAAAGTTCAATGTTCACGTCAGGGCTATTCTCTTGCCTCAAAGGTTTTCTTTACCTTTCTCCCAGTCCTGTTTTTTTCCCAGGGTTGTTGATTCCCTGGCGTGTCCCCCTTCCACTTTCCTTCCAGCCCCTGCTTTGGAGTCTCCTGCTGGTACTCCTGGTGCATCCATCCCTCTGTGCTCAATTCTGACAAGCATCCTTCTGCCACTGGGCACAGAGAAACATTCAGAACCTTTCCAGGCCCACAGGAGCCCAGAGAAACAGGGGATTTTACTAAATGCATCCCCTCTTTTCTGACCCCTTCCTCATATTTGTCAGGTTATTTGCTTTCAAAAGGACAAGTGAAAAGAAGACCCAAGGGGCTCTTCTCCCAGATCTCCTAAATGCTAAGTCTGGGGATTCATACACCTGCTCACCTCCTTCCTCTCCCCCAATTAATACGAAGGTGGTGGTTCTCAAAGTGTGGTCCACACACTGTGGGAGTCCCTTACTTTCATTACAACACTAAGAAGTTATTTGCTTTTCACTGGTGAGGCAAAAACCATGGCTGTGAAACTGAAGTGCAAATCAAGGCAGTGGCATCCACGCCTGCTAGCCATGTATTCTTCACCACCGAAAACTCACTCTTCACGCCACTGGTACTTAAGAATGCCCTCAATGGAGCAGTGAAAAAGATTAGTTTAATTCTGAGCCTTATGCCCACCTCACCGTAATATTTTGTGTGATAAAATAGGAAGCACAAAGGCTGGATAGCACCCCCAGGTTAACAGTTTTCTCAAGGAGAAGCTCTGTGTGATTGTTTGAGTTGTTTAACTAGTTGCTTTCTTAGCTGAGCACCATTTTTACCTTCTGACAGACCAACTAAAAGATAAACTACAGTTTTCCAGACTTCAGTATCTGCCAGACATTTTCTTGAAAAGAAATAAAGCAAGTGATCCCTTCAAACCAAACCAAACCAAACCAAACCAAACCACACAACTGAAAGCATCTGTTGCCAATGAGAAAAATCCCAGTCTCCAAGCCCCAATCCATCACTTAGTGGTGAATTAACTCTCTACCATCTGACTTGAAAAGTCGGGATGGTGATAATACTCTAATGAGTGGATACAAACACTAAAGAAGATATAAAGCATTTTATATGGTGCCTGGTGTGTGTTAAGTGTTCCATGAATGAATATTGGCTTTTATTTAAAACAATCCCCCACCATCACATTCTCATCCACGTCCAGATTTGCTTTTATTTTTTTCCCAACTTGTTTTTCATTTTCCATTTAACCAAACATGAGTCAATTCCACCAAAAATACTCAGCTTGAGCCTCAAGAAAACACTCTTTAAAAATTAGACTTATTCACTGAAATACTAAGTTTTGAGCAAAAATTCTCATTGCCCCAGTTTTCCTCCAGGAAAGAAATAGGACTAGTTGGGCAGTGGTTAAAAATGCACAGAACAACACAAACATTCTACAAGCACCTCTCAAAGCTTACTGCTGAGAGCCATTTATCTGCACCAAGGCTGACAACACGAGGCCACCTGTGTCCCCAACAGAGTAAAGTTCAAGGGCATCGGATGGTGTCTTGATCATTACGCCATTCAGTGTCACACCTCATCAGTAAAGTCAGTTGATTTTCCAAACCGAAGCACTTCTACCAAGACTTTAGAGAGGAATTAATAAGAATTCAGGTCATGTTCCATTTTGGGAACAGGCAGGCTATGAAAAGCAGATAAGGGGAAAAGAAGCCAAAAGAGATAATGATCAAGATATTAAAAAGAAGAAAAGGAAGAGAAATGTACCAGAAAAAGTTGTGAAAGCTGTGGGAGCCTGTTGGTGGAATATAATGAGAATATTTCAACATTTTCCAAATAATTTTTCATTTTCATTAATGACAGTTCCAGTCTTATAATATTAGCACAGTTCTTGTATCTTGTATGAATAGTCAAAGCCCATGGGACCTTTTTCAATCTTTCTGATCACCAGGCCCTATCCTGGGCAATCCTTATCTCTCCTTTGGAAGTATCTGTCTGTAAACAGCTGCTTTCTTCATGAACAAAGAGGTAATAGTCACAAAACATTCAAATGGCCAGCTCGGTCCATCCCTGCCACTTTTGGTCCACTTTCCCAGAAATCTGTTTCCATGCAGAGGACAGCAGTGTTATTACCTACCTCCACTTATAACTATTTTGCAAATGAGGGAGAAATAGTACCGACTTGGGGTAAGGTGGGGAGGGAAGGAGTCGATGTTGCTTGTCTTCAGTGAGAGGGTGGCAGGTACGTGGAGCAAGGAGCATCTGCTGAGGCTCATTAACCTGAAAACCGTCCTGCCAGAAATAGCAACAGCAACAGCAACGACCGGCCTGTCAGTTCCATTCCAGGAACTCCGATGGCTATTTCGGTTGTTATGGAAACTGACCACACTGCTTCCTAAGGAATTCATTATTCCAACAGATGTTTATTGTTCTAGTCATTCTGGAGTATCTAAGGGAGAGACGCAGACCAAGGAATGGAGGAGCTCACAGTGGAAGCTGGTGATTAGAGAAGACTTCACATGGAGTCTGAACTTACACCTGACCTTGGGGTATGATTAGCTAGGGGAGAAGACATTTCAAATGAAAACAATGGCGAAAGCGAGAAACTGTTCAAGAGATGATAATGAAGCAGGTGGGGGTGGAGCCAAAGACTTGGGGTGCGGTGGGAAATAGGAAAGACACACGGAGGCCGGCAGGGAGAGAGCTTCGAAGGCCAGTCTAAGGAGTCTGGGCCTTTCTGTGGACAAAAGAGAACTAATGGATACTTCGAAATGGGGAAGAGTGCTTTAAAAATATTAATTTTATCTTATGACTAACAGCAAGGATGTCAAACTAGCCTGTGCTAATACTACAGCTCCGCTGTGACTCTGGTAGATGCCAAGACAATAATTTAGGACAATAAAAAAATTCAAGCCCTGGCTGGCATAGCTCAGTGGATTGAGTGCGGTTTGTGAACCAAATGGTCGCAGGTTTGATTCCCAGTCACTGCACGTGCCTGGGTTTTGGGCCAGGTCCCCAGTGGGGGCCACACGAGAGGCAACGACACATTGATGTTTCTCTCTTTCTTTTTCTCACTCCCCTCCCTTCTCTAAAAATAAATAAATAAAAATCTTTAAAAAAAATTCAGCCATCTTCTCATATAGACAAAGCCACACTTGTTTCACTGAAACCATCTGACTCTTGTTTATTGAAACCCATCAAAACTGCCATGGGTATGTCTATGACATCCTGAGTATTTTTACAAGCTCAAATTGACCTGCAATACGCAGCCCTAAAGTATCATTCTGCCATCTGTCATGGAAGTGTTTGGAACCAAGATCTTAATTTTCAAGCCGAGCCCAGTAAAAACCCCAGAAGAACAATTACTTTTCCTCATGTCACAGTGGCTTCTCCTGTGCAAACAGGAAGCTGGAATCTTTTTTGTATTAGGACAGTGACTGACCAATAAGTTGACATACAGAAGAGTTTGGCTGGATATAAGAAAAGCCTTTTGCTCAGAGCAGCAGTTCTGAGTGTGATCTGTGAGCCTTTGGGTCTCCAGCTTTGTCTGATGCCAAAGATTTTACGTTGTGCTACGTGACCTTCTGAAGGGCACAGGACTTAAGAACAGGTGAGCTGAAATTTTTATCCTAGACAGAAGTGACATTTGAAAATCTATTTTAAAATTCAACTGTGAGTGCTAAACAATGGGTGAATCTGAAATAATAGTAATGCTAGATGCAGAACCACCCCCCAAAATATGCTGTATTATTTTCCAAAGCTGTTTTTGGATCATATTCATAAAAACGCAGATTTCTATGTGACAACAAAGGCTCATTCCTTGGATTCCTGCATATCAAGTTTAAAGAGTCTCTCCTCTTTCTAATTTGATTCCTAAGATAAATGCTAAACAGAAAGTAGAAGGTATTGTGTCTTGGCCTTGTTGTCAAGAAAACTAAGTAAAGGTTATGTGGAAAGGGAACTTTTCTCTGAAATTATGATGATGTTTCTCTTTAGTAAGGAGTAGAAATAATGTAGTTTCACTTTCTGAAAAGAATGTAAATTAAATGTGGCAGGAATCCATCCAGATCCCAAGGTTAAAGTCAACTAGATACAAGTAGGTCAGACATAACATTCAGGTTGGGCTCAAGAACTGTCACTGCTTAAGGCCTGTTCTTTTTGGTTGGGATTCTTCCTTTCCTCACCTCCCATGAATCCCTTCAGTGGTCTCATCTCCTCCTTTAGTTCCCTGCTCAAATGTCACCTCCACAGGGAAGCCTTCCCTGATCACTCTGTATAAAATAAAAACTCACTTCTATCCCAAACACTCCAGCCAGGTTGTTCTATTTTGGCTTTTTGTATCCTTCCTAATTTTGTGATAATAATTTGATCTTTTCATCAAAGATGGAAGCTCAGTGATCCGTGTCCATTGCCAGTATGCGTCTGACAGGCAGTGAGTATCTGGTGGGTGACTGACTGTGGGCGACAGCCCAGGGTCACGTCCCACACCACAGAGTGCTGAAGCGGGAAGGGCCCATTTGCAGCCCCACGCTGTCTGTGCTGAAAAGATACAAATCCAAAAGCAACACGAAATCGTGCAAATAAAAGCAGCAATCCAAAAGTGTCCGTTCACCAAAAGAAAAGAAAAAAGCAAGAAAAAAAGCAAGACTTCAAAACAGAATGAGAAATAAATAGCCTTTTCCCTTACCAAGTTGTTATTATGAAGCAATTGTATTAGAAAATTTGAGGGCTGTTACTCACCGATCATGAAAATAATTTTGTACTTCCTCAAGTCTTCCGTGACACCTTTAAAGTAAGAATAAAAGTTATTGGCAAGAAGTACTGTACTGAAACTCTGGTTTTATGTATGTCATGTAAAAACCAAACTCTTGTAGTTCTTTTTATGAGAAGCTTAGAGTTAATTGAATGTGTTCAGAGCCATAATTAAAAGGCACCAATGACCATTTCAGCCTTATTCCCAGACCCAGGTAACATATTTTCATTTAAACACAAATTATTACATACCTTTAAGTGATAAAACTGATAAACCATTAAATAGCATTAATCACAAAAAATAACTTAAAAATTATTCTAAAAATTTCTTAAGTGTCTCAGTTGTCAGTTATTTCACACTTAAACATGTGCTAATCCTTTTCTGATGAAGAGGAGTTAGAAACAAGTAGGGAGTCTGGAAGATGATAATTTAGCAATAGTTCCTATTTACAGAAAATAATGCTATTTTCCACTTAGGGTGGTGATATAAAATTCCTTTTAAAATAAAAGTATATAAATAATAACAGTGAGTCCATTTGGTGAAAAATATTAACTAAATGATATGTTGAGCACAGTGCAGGACAAACAAAACAACATCTGAAGCTGAATGCTTCTCTCAGCTGAACAGATGTGGCTATGATAGAGTAATGGAAGATAACTTTGAATATTATTCTTGTTAACCTTTCTGCTAAGGGAGATGCTTTGCAAACTGCAAGATACATTGAGTAGGGCTTGTATGATAAGTAGTATAGAGATGGAGCAAAAATCACAAAGGTGGCAAGTGAGAACCGAACTTTGGGAGCTACTGCTCTACAGCAAAGATATGATTCGAAATGTGGGCGAAGTGCAAAGCCTTCTAGAATTTGTGGAGCCCTAGAAGATTTTCAGTCATCATGTGGTGTAGTAGGTAGCCTTGTGGGATGGGTAGACAAGAGCTATGTTTTCGATCCTATTGTCAACTGACTTAATCTAGGCAAAGGAATTCTCCTTGCACCTCAGTTTTTCTATCTGTAAAATAAAGGTGTTGGATGCAGTGATCCCTAATATGGTTCAAATACCCATGATCCTGTGGTTCCTGTACATGAATAGGCCTCATGAGGAAATGGCTCCCTTTGTCCCTTGGCCACAGTTACGATGCTATTATTGTTGTATGTGTAAGACATCCTCCTAAAGTAAACCAAAATTCCAGGAGACCTTGGATGAGAACGAGGTCCCCTGAAGAGGTAACCACAACCTGAAACTTGGATTGGGAATGGCTCTGGGACCTTGGGGGCTCTGGGCTCAGGAAATGCCAATGGTTACTGCTGAGTCTGGAAGCAGGGACATCTCGAACTAAAAAAAATGTTTAGAGTGGGGATCTGAAGACAGAGGAAACAGCAGTCCTACCCAAGGCTGTTTCAGAGAGAGGAGCAGAGACAAATAATTCACCCTAGCTTTAAGGCTCTAGAGCTTTATTTATGAAGATGAGATTTTACATGTGATCAAGTGTTGAGCCCTCTCATTGCTGCACAACATGAGAGTTAGCAGACTGCTTACTCCACTGTGCCAGGGGTGGGTCAGCCTTCTGCTGTGCAGGCAGAGTTTTTGGGCAGGTCAAGGGTGCAGGTGTAGGCTAGCTCGGGATGCTCTGAAGTTCAGAGCAGGATTCAGTAGGAGCCACTTAGGGAGGTACTGCTCCAAGCTACAAGCCAGCCTGGCCAATGAGGATGGTGAAAGCTTAAAACGTGGGCCTTAGGGCAGTCAGAGAAACTCACCATGTCCAAGCCCTTCTCCAACTGGCTAACTTCGGAGTAGCTCTGTCTAATACCCTTGGGGATGATGGCGAAGGCAGCAGACTGATTCCACAGACAATAATGTTCAGAAGGTTTCTTTGATGTACTTAGGCAAAGGCCAGGCAAAGATTCTAAACCAGTGGGGTGGGTGGGCATAGAGTTCATGTTCAAAGTCATGTTTTTTTAGAGCACAATGCAGGACAAACAAAACAACATCTGAAGCTGAATGCTTCTCTCAGCTGGACAGATGTGGCTATGATAGAGTAATGGAAGATTTTGAATACTTTTCTTGTTAACCCTTCTGTTAAGGGAAATGCTTTGCAAACTGCAAGATACATTGAGTAGACCATAATATATTGCAATATAGGATATTGTGATTTGTTCTACTTCATGAAAAATTTGCATGCAGTTTTAAAGTAAGACACTAAAGTTCAAAGTATTTGGTGTTTTTGTTGGAAGTCCAGGCCCCCGGGGTGTGGAGGTTCCTGGAGCAGCCAGGTTGGTGGGGAGAGCCCTGGAGAGCAGGGCAGGACGGGGTCAGCCCTGAGTTCCCCGTCCAGGTGGAGCTCTGGGCTCTTGTCCTGACTCAGGAACTGTTCTTGCTCATCCTATAGGTGTGAGCTGACTAAAACAACAGGTAGAATGTGATTACCTGGAGAGGGAGTCGAAGGTTTTCATTTCCCTCCCGGAGGACAAAATTAGTTTTTATACTTTAAGTAAACTGATAGGACTTATACTTCAGAGGACTTACTCAACTGTAAGAGGACTTATTGCAGTCAGAGGACTTACACTTCATACCTTATGTAGATAGTCAGTACTTTTAAAAGTTAGATTGTTCCACTGACAGTTATAAAACTTACTTTTAGTGGAATTGGGCTGGTTCGTTTACATACACAATTCTACCTTTTTTTGCAGGAATGCATTATGAGCTGAAAGGCCCAATGAGAAAGAGAGAGAGAGAGGAAGAGAGAGAGAGAGAGGACATAAAAAATTGGGTTGGTGATAGAAGGGAACAGGACAGAGGAGAAAGAGCTGGAAGCAGAGGAAAAAAAGTGAATTTGGGGTCTTTGGAATCATTGGTTTTATACTGAAGGATGCTTTTTTGGGGTTTCTTTTTAGTCAGAGAGATGCTTCAGTCTTTTCACAGAGGAGCTCATTGTGACTGGAAAGTCCTGTTTTCTGGCACTTTCTATTAAAGGCAAGAATAGATTGGTGCTCTTAACATATGGGCCAGGTGGTCATTTCCTGTTCTCTGGAATTTAGGTTTACCTTTATCTATTTGCAATCTAGGAGAGGAGTTGTGGTTATTATTATTATCATTATTGGTATAGCTGTATCCTATCCCAGTTTTTAAAAAATAGTTATTTTTAAAAAATCAATGATGGTACATTCTTGTAATGTACCCATTACAAATTAAGGTTATAGAGAGTATTTAATGACATGGGAACATGCTTATGTTATGACATGTACAACATTAGAGCTAATATTTATATGCACATATGTATTCTCAACTATGTGAAAATAAATATATAGACAACATTCTGTAATAAAGTGTACTAGAAATGTTAATCATGCTTATTCAGAGTTCATAAGGCTTTAGATGACTCTGATTTTCTACCTTGAAAAGTTTTCCACAATGAATATGTGTTAATTTTGTAACCAGGAAGAGAGGAAACTTTATTAGGCAATCAATCAATTCCTATCCAGTTGGGACCGAGTTGTTTATTTGCACTTGGCTCCCATTTATGTGCCCTTCCCCATGAATCACCATGATGTCACTGAGTGACTGAGATTTTCACACACTGCCATTGCCATTGTCATCCAATGATGCTCTATATCTCATGTTCATGGATCAGTGCAGGATGAGAGCTGGGTTGTTTAGAAAGCCACTTACTTGTATGCATTCACAGTCAATATAAACAAACTTCCACCAACTATAATTACAACATTTATTACAGAGTGATAATGTTAGAAGGTATTTTACTGAGGGCAAGCATGAACCTTATCTTTCTTGGACAACCTCAAATTTAGATAATTTTATCTATTTTCAGTTTCATGTACAGCTAATTATGGTTGGATTTTTTTTTTGTTTTTTTGCGGGACTTTTAACATGACACAAAGGCTAAAGCAGTATAATTTGGGTGTTTCTTAGGCTGCATCCCAATGGTACACTGCAGAAGAGTAACTACTACGCAGAAAAAAAGACTTGTTTTCCAAAAACTTTGAAAAATGTTCTGCTACAGGTAGCTAGCTCTCTTTCCTGCAGAACTTGTCTGGGAGCCTTGCTGTGCTCTCGTATGTGACTCTCCCCAAGCCGACTGAGTGTGAGGCACTTCCCAAACCCACTTTACCAGAGCATCCTCTTTTCGCTGAGTACCTCAGGGGGCATGTTCTTGGGCCAGTGAGGAAATGCCTCTCTCAGGCATTCCCTGGTTCTTCACACAGACCAAGAGGGGAGAGATGCAGAGTTCCCATATTAACTGTGTCCTCTCACTAAGGGGAAAGTATGTGTTGTTAGTAGTTTATTCTCTTTGTTGATGTTTAATAGAAAAGACATGTTTAAAGCCACTTAAGTGATCATTTTGGTGCTCAGTGAAAAAAAAAAACTCACCTCCTGTGGTGTCCTCTACAAATACATTTGAATGGTCATCACCCTATTTATAAAAAAAATAAAAATATTAGTTTATGATATTAACAGGTATTGTGTTAAATATCTTGCCAACATTAACACATTTAATCTTCCAAATAACTCCATAAAGGAGGCATCATTATGACCTACCCTTCTCAGTTCAAGAAGTTAACTGGCGCAAGGTCACACAGCAGTGAGGAAAAAGCCCAGATTTAACCCGGGGCTGCCTGTTCCCGGAGTGAAGGCTCTTCTTAACTGATACAATACGCTGCTTCATTTTCTTGGTGCATAACCCAGCCGTGGTCAGAAAAGCTGATTTAGAGATGGTAAAACCCTCCAGTACCTGAGCTCAGGGGGGGTATAGTCACAGCTGCTTTACCAACAACTCTGCAACTTAAAGCTGTCGGACAGGGCAAACTCTCTGAAAAGGGCCAGACAGTAGATATTTACAGCATGGGGAAGCCCACATGGTCTCTGTGCAACTACCAACCACTGGCCACAGTTTGCCAATCCCTGAGAGCAAAAGCACAAAATAAGGCAGGCAGGACGACCAGTTTTCATGGATCTCTGCCTTTTCATGTTCATATTACTTTTTAATCAAAACGCTGCTCCATTTTCCTCATAGAAAAACTCACGGTGATTGTAAGAGATCCCGAAAAAAATTTATAAGAAGGCATTTGGAGAGGAGTGTTGCGGCTGTGAGCAGGGGCCGCAGTCGAGAAACATCTAACTCTGTTGTCTTCTGGAAGAAAGCAATGCAGGGAGATCCGGGAAGGCACCAACAGAGGATCAGGTGGTGAGAGCCCATGACTTTGGGGAAGAAGACGAAGAAGATCCGAGTGATTCAGAGCAGGGTGTTACTGACGTGAAGACTCCAGTAACTGAGAAGCTTGGGAAGAAAAGGACTTCTGCAGGAATAGTCGGAGGTGTGGGAGGTGGAGCACAGAACGTGCCGGAACACTTTGGAGTTGACATTAATGACACTCTTCTTGCAAAGAAGAAAGGACAAGCAGCGTACACCAAGGCTCCCCTCAAATCCAGTAACCAGAAAATGGAACATATTTGGGAACCCCAACAAAATCTAAGGCAGAAGCTTAACCAAGAATTTTGTCAGCAGTTTTGGACTTTGTTTCAGCAGTGGGAGACAGCTGTGTGAAGGCCGAGGAACAAGGAGAAAAACTAGCTAATTTGTTTCAACAACAAATGGCTTTTCAACAATTTCGAGTTGCTCAGGGCCAGAGCCGGTAAACAATGAAACTGTTATCTGAGCAGCTCAAGAAGAGTTGGGACAGTCGCCAGCCTGGTGCACAAACTGGGCTTAAAAGAAATGGCTATGTTGCAAAAAAAATTACGATGGACACTGTAAGTTGTTATATTACACACGGAAAAACAACAGCAGCAGATGGCAAATGTTCAAAATTATCTTCAACCCATATTATTCTGATGACTCTGAAAGAAGAACTTGAACCTGAGTAATATGGTACAATTATAACATTAGCTAAGAGGCATGTAAGTCTTTAGAGTGTTTAAAAAATCTAGTTTAAAATATTACATCATGTTAATTATTAGCTTAAGTGCAACTCTCTTCTTCCTGTTAACCTCCAAATAAAATCTAAACAGCTTTGAGTAGCAGAAAAAAAAAAAAAGGCATTTGGTGAGAATTTTCAACCCCACCTCTGCCTCCATCCATCCCATTTTCCTACTTCCTCATCCCTACGGGTAGGTAAGCACTCATAGAAATTTTTTATTTTGGTTTTTGTTTTTTGGATATTTTTTCCATATACACAAATATGGACTTTCAGATATCCACAGATATACTTGAATATAAATATTTAATCTTATTACCTCCATTGTGTATATAGAAAGAAACACATTGTACATGCATGTGTTTATAATTACATACTAATTTATACTGTTCTTCCCCTTGGCTTTTTACTTATCAATATTTCCTGGAGAACTTTCCATATCAGCTCAGAATGTTCTCGGTTGTACAGTATTCTATCGTATGGAAGGTCCCACAGTTGCTGCTATTGTTTTAAAAAAGTCCTTTATTGATGAACTACTGAATTGTTTCCAATCTTGGGCTTTTTTTTGATAGAGCAGCATAATGAATACATTTATATAAAGTCATTTCATACACATATGCCTGGAGGATAAATTCCCAGAGAAGGGGCTGTGCCACCAAGGATTAAATGTATTTTGCTAAATTGCGGTTGCTACAGAGGTTGTGCCATTTTGCAGGGACAGCCTCTGGCCTCTAATTTGCTTTGATGCAGGACTGAGTTAAACGAGGTTGCCTGACTGCATCAACGCTCCCTGGAGGTAAACTGCCCTGAAAGCACTTTGTCCAAAACAGAGACTTGCCAGCATTTTTTTTTTTTTTTAGAATGTGCGCCTTCAGGACAGCTTTACTGCTTGTCTTCTTAGATTTGCCTGTGTATTCAGAGCTATTCCAGGTGAGACAGGTGCACTTAATGGAGCAGCCATTCAGGGACACGGCTACATTAATTAACTCCCTTCTATGAGTAGAAAGACTTCAATTATTCCTCAGGGAGCCTCGCCACCCCCGGCCACTTCCCTTGTTGAAATCATTGCACTTTGGAGCTGGGAGAGTAGGAATTATCTAAAATCCAGTCCTACCTCCCACCTCTCTGCCTTTACAGATGAGAAAAAGATGGTTACAGAGGTCACACAAAAGGCCTGTACTCATGTCATTGTGTCCTTAGTGCAGTCACTGTTGGGATGAGAACCACGTCTCCTACCCACAAAGCAAGGCTCCTAGAAAGTTAGTCCCATAAGCTTAGCTACCACAATGGATCTCTTAGTGTCCTGCCACTCACCTGGCTGGTGCAACCATCTCCTGGCTACTGCTAAGGGCTCCTAGGAGTCTGGCCCCTTCCTCAAGCTGGGATCAATCTGGTATAAGTTGTGTGTCAGTGTTCCCCTCAAGATCAGGCTGACCCCAGCAGCTGACCAGCTGGGACCACATCTTTGCGCAGCTACTACCCCTGCCCTCTCCTGCCGATGTGGGAGGCTTTGGAAAACCTTTGTTCACCCAAAACCCCAGGCGCCCTGGGAGAATGATAAGGCCGTCTTGGAAAAGCAAATAGCAGGATAGTCACAAGGACTGGAGCTAGCACCCCCACTGATAGAACTAATTTTCACATTTAGCCTTTGTACTCTGCTTCTGTCCCATAGATAGAACTAATTACCCCATTCCGCTTTGGTATCTCGCTTTGCTACGTAGAAAGGAAGACCCCATAGGCTATATAAACCCCAAGAATCCTTTGTTTGGGGCTCAGAATTTGGAGACTGACTCTTCTGGGCCCCTGCACGATAGTAAACCTCGTACTTCAGAATCCCTCAGTGTCTGCTTGCTTCGTTTTCCTATAACACCGTGTCTCTCTCCATTTCCTAAAAGACTCTAATAAATAACACACTTGCAAAAATCCCCATCTCAGTCTCTGCTTCTAGGGACTGATTTGAAACAATGAATATGCTTGCCTAAAGTGCAGCTACACAGAAAGAGGCTCAACAGTCTTTGTTGGAAAAGGATTCTTCAATCAGACTTGGCCTCTTGCTTGTCAAACCGCTATGGAATGTGTCCAGGTAATGTTAAGAGGGAACGATGAAGCCCCCTCCCTCATTTTTTCATTGTATTCCTGAATTATCAGTCTTATACCCCCCCGATGGCCTAAATCCTATCAGATCTTCCTTTTACCTGGCTATCACATTTTGGGAGTTTGAGCAAGGTTAATCTCAATTCATAAAACAATGCATTGTGTTTTAAAGGGCCTCTCAGACCTCTTTGGCTGCTGAGTCTGACCTGTTTTCATCCATGGCTCTTACTCACAGCCTTCTATTCTGTTGACCCAAATGCTTTAAATAAGCCCCAGTGTTATTTCTATGAATGCATTGATAGTGCACGGGTTTCCGGAGCATGGAGGCAACTGTCCTCAGCTCTATGCCAGGAATGTGCCACGCTGCATCGACTGGCCTGAGAACCCAGCAGAATGGAGTATTTTATTGGAGGGCGTCATTTTCTAGTGATACTCAAAATAAACCTCCTGATTCCAATGTGAATCTTTCATAAATAAATTTATTCTGGCATCTTGAACACACACACACACACACACACACCCCAACTAACAAAAGGCAAAGTCTTCTGGTTTTGTTGAAAAAGATGCTATACAGCCCCTGGAGGCGCTTTCTTTTCCAATGCTAAGTGTATTCTACAAAAAAGGCACTAATTTCAGAATGTCAATTATATAAGGAGAAAAGGTGTTTATATCATCCAGTTGCCCAATAGCTGCACCTTCAGTGAGGTGTTTTTGGAGAAAGCTCAACCCACTGATGACCGCGTGCCACCCTGCATGTCTGTGGGTGCTCCTTACAACCTTTTACTGTGTCGCTGCTCCATCCAGTCAGCCCTTTGTTGCCTGGAGTCCGAACTATGGGGCTAGCTTTGTGAGTGCAGTGAAACACAGATGACTCCACAGTATTAAACCAGGTTTGGGGAGGCACGAAGCAGGATACCAATCCTGAACAAACTGATAAAGAGAGATAGTACAAATATAGGCACAGATTTTATGTAAGTGCCACCTATGACTCACAAGCAGGGAGCTGACACAGCCTGCAAGGATGTGATTAATACTGGTGAAGGAGGGAAAAGCTACAGCAAAACCACACATACACAAATTCGGGCGGCCACATCTTTTTGTTCTATATCTAATAATGTGATGGTAATCGATGGGGGAAGATCTAGAATCCTGTTGAAGTGACACATTTAGAACCTCAAGGTGGGATTCATGGCTTTGTGGGAAACTAGGTTTGGGCTACAGGTTTGTTTTGGTCTCTATCCCTCATTCTCCAGTCAAGCCAGAGCCGCCAGGAGAGCAAAAGCAACTGCATTCAGCTTTATTTCCCTCTGTGGGTGTACAGGCAAACCTGGGTTCTGCTGTTATTTATAGGAAGAGCAGTTAGTTGGGGGGTGTGTGTGTGTTTTTCTTTAGGATCAGAGCTCCT